TTGTTTTCTGCAGCTCAAAGCTCGGATGACCCCATGCCGCTCCTGAATGGCGAGGCGGAAGACGATGCTGACAGCATGCACGTCGATAGAGAGTTTGTAACAGGTGGGAGTGGACAGTTTCCTGTTAGCCACAGCAGCGGTCCAATGGTCGAAGACACCAAACAGCAGGAGGGTGGTTCTGTTGGACCGAAAGAAATAGAAATCTATACTGTTTCAGCAATGCAGACCCCCTGCCGTTGCAAGAACCAGTATGCGTGTTATTTCTAACATGCGTTCGCTCAAGCAGTTTTTGCACTTTGTCCAGTGTTTTAAAGAATGTTATGCTATAATTTGCATATCTTGGACAAGTTTGTAGCTATAAGGAGAAATGTTTCAGTGCATTTTATGGATATGAAAAGTATAAGTGCAACCTTCCTATTTTGATTTGAGGCTTTTGCTTAATGTGCCTTGTTTAATTTTAATGAGATTTCACGTTTTTCATTTTCTGACATAGGACCTTGGGGTGACTATACCAAACGAACATCTATTGCTAGTAATTTCGAAGCGATAAACAGCAAAAGGAATGTCTGGCTGTAAACACTGAGAACTCGTAGATGTTGTGGTTTTGACTTGTAACCAGTCAGGCCACTGTGAAATCTCTAACTCAGCATTCCTGGTTGCTTGGGTTTGTGTGGCGCTCACGCTGAATCTACTAAGATGCTGAGCACTGTGTCTCACAAAACACACTTTTTCACTAAAGTTTGTAGTATATTAAAACAGTTGATAGTCATTTTTGGTTTTTAAAAGGTAAGGGCTTTGTTTCTTTTACTATTTAGAGTAAAGATTTAGCCATTTAGCTAATGCTTTTTTCTACCATTCTTTTTATTATTATTTTTTTTTTGCGGTACGCGGGCCTCTCACTGTTGTGGCCTCTCCCGTTGCGGAGCACAGGCTCCGGACGCGCAGGCTCAGCGGCCATGGCTCACGGGCCTAGCTGCTCCGCAGCATGTGGGATCTTCCCGGACTGGGGCACGAACCCGTGTCCCCTGCATCGGCAGTTGGACTCTCAACCACTGCGCCACCAGGGAAGCCCTCTACCATTCTTTTATCTAGGTGACCATGAAAACATTTTAGCCATTCTCTTAATGTGTTAATATATTTGGAAATAGATAATGGTTTTTTTAAAGTTTTATTATTATATCTGTATGCTAAATTCTTCACTGGGGATAAAAGATTATATATATTGTTTCCCAGAGGTACATGAAAAAAATCATTTTTGTTCACTAAGATGAAAAGAAAATGTGTACATCTTTCTAGAAGCTACAGAATTGTTACGGATGGAGTCACCATTTTGCCAAATACTTAAATGAAATGGGTAGATTTTCCAAGGGAAATTCTGGTTGGATAATACATTTAAAGATCTTGGCTAAAGATAAATAACAGAACTCAAAGCCAGCTTTTTAAAAAATGTCATTGCTACATGCTTTTAAAAAGGCAGAAGTAATCACTCTTTAATCTTCAAACATTAATTCCCTCAGTTTTCGGATTAAATTTAATGCCGCTCTTGAACATAACGTTGAAAAGGCCAATGTTTAAACTCAACTCATCCCATACGATAGGTGCCAAGTAAGCATTCCCCATGTTTTTCATCACTTGGTTTATAACACTCTCTGACTGAATAAACAAAAGGTATGGAATTGCTAGCGATCACTTGCGGTAGGTGGGTGAGGGGATGGGGTGCAAGAGGCGAGTCCTGGAAGGCACGTTGGAACAGAGTGTACGGGCGGCCCTGGGCGGTCCTGCAGACCGTCGGCAGGTGCGGGTCTGACCAAGCAGCCGTAGGTCTTAGCCAGTCTCTGGGAGGTTTGCTGCTCTCATGCTCAGTTTTACTAGATGTTTCATAATGACATGGGGTTACAACTAGCCTTGATTTTGAGAATGCATAATGGGGCTAATTTACTTTAGCTGGGCACCAGAGAAGAATGATACACATGCAGTGAACATTAAACAAAAAAACACCAGCCTAGTTAACTCGGATTTCTGAGGCCCAGTCACCTAAAAATATAATCTCTATCTTTGTTAGTAGTAGTATAGTTGTCTTATTAACTATCAAGGTCAACATCCTACTCATGAGTTTTATTACCCAGGAAAAGCTGTTTATTTGGGGGAAAAAATAAATATTTCCCTGGGAATAACTTGTTTTATTTTTAATTTTACCTCAGGTTTAGTTCTTGAAACACTTGTTCTCCAGCCTTAAGTTTAACTAAATAGAAAATCTGTCGTTCAGTTTGAAAAGAAATAATCCATAATCCGCCGAAGAATTTATAGCGGCTGTTAAACTGTGTCACTTAAACTGCCAGAAAATTGATTAATAGAATGTTTAGAAGATGTTTTTGTTCATTGAACAAGATGTGATTTTTTTTTGTCATCAGAAAGATTTTCAGGACACACAGAAACCTATGTCTGGGTTCCAGTCGAGGGTCATAGTGTGCGAGGTGTTAGGGTCATAGGACACACACCTGTGTGTCCTCATTCTAGAGGTTACAGAGTCAGTGCTTCTGTATTTAATGTCACACTTTACTTGAATAGTGCAGAACATTGGGGTAAATTTTAACATCATTAAGCAAGTCATAATTTTAGATCATTCTCTGTACTGTTCTGTGAATTCCTGTGAACATGAATATTAATCCTTGAGTTTCACTATACAGAAAATACCTTGTAATTGCCTATTCCCATGTGTCCAAACGTTTTGTGATTGACATTTTTTTCCCGTAAGACATCTCCCTCTTAATAGATGTCTATATGTGCAGATTATGGTTTTTGAAAGTGGAACCTTGGAGATCATAGTCACTGTAATTGCTGAACTCAGAAGAAACTCTTCAGAACTGTGCTCTTGGCCCAAGACTGTATGCGTGGAATCATTAGGGTTCATGGTTCTTCCTGCAGTCTGACAGTGCTATGTGGCATTTTGCAGAAGTGCTGTGGGATTCAAGTGTTGCTGAGGAAAGCGCTCCCTGTTCCTATTCCTGTGTGCGCGTCCCTGGCTTGGAGGAAGCGCTCTGAGGAGCCTCCTGTGACGCTGTCAGACTTTGTCCCGGGAGCCTCCTTAATTCACATCCTTCATCAACTGCTTTTCTTTTCTTTTTTTTTTTTTTAATTTCTTAAAAGCTGGAGAAGTTTTTGGTTTATTTTAACCCTTTGTGGGAACACGTTCAGTTCTGATGGACTTTTTCACACGTGATGATTTTTAAAACTGCTCTCCAAAGTAGTCTTAAACTGAGAACAGTTCAGTGCTGTTGGTATTTTTCATGCAGTATGTTTGTCAGCTGAAGTTCTTTCATTTGGTTCTTCCCCAACACTAATGAAATCTATAAATGTTTCCTATCTTACCAGGCAAATGCTTCTGTTGTGTTTTACTTTTAAATCACTTATGCACCGTTTTTTGCCTTGCAAGAGGAACTGGTTTGTTTAAAGAAAGGAAACTAAATAAATCCTTTAAAACAGTAGCAGGAATGAAGCATTTTATACTGTCTCCTCCCCTCTGGTTCTGAATTTTGGTGACAGGTGTATTTCTTAATGCAGATACGAAAAACAGTAGCTCCGTATCGAATACACTGACAAATGGATGTCTCATCAATGGACATTTGGACTTCCCCTCCACGACACAGCTCAGTGGGATGGAGAGCAGGAGCGACCAGTGCTTGACAGGACCTAATGGAATGGGCGGTGGACTAGTTCCAGGACCGCCGTTCCCGAGTAGCCAGGGTTCCCCCTGTGTTAATGGGACTGAAGAGCCAGGAAAGGGCACGAGCGTTAACCCCGAGATGTGCGGCTCTCTGCACCTGAACGGGAGTCCAAGTACCTGCGTAGCCAGCAGGCCTTCCTGGGTGGAGGATATCGGGGAGAACCTGCACTACGGACACTACCACGGGTTTGGAGACACTGCCGAAAGCATCCCTGAGCTGAGCAGTGTGACAGAGCACTCCAGCTCCTTGAAGCTGGACGAGGGGCACGACAGCGCCGTCCTGGGCACCATGCACCTGTTCCACGGCTCCTAGGGCCGAGGCCGCCTCGAGGACACATCAGGCCTCCTGCTAACCAACTCCCAATGCTAGTGTAGCATCAACCTGAAGGAATGCCACAACTTGTACTATTTTTTTATACTTCGGCTTCCTGAAAAAGTGCACTCTCACTCGGCAGGTTCTTGTTGAGTCCTAGCATGAGCACAAGTAGGCTTATTTAGCGCACAGGTGTCTCTCCGTGGGACAGTGGGGGCCTCTTTCAGGGTGCACTTTTGAAATTTAATTTTTCTGCTGCCAATCTCAATATTTTCTTTTGAATACCATCACCATAAATTGCCATTTTTCCTTCCGTCAAATTAAATTGTATCTGATCAGGATAAATTGCAGACAGTAAATGAGGTGCCTGGTAATTTACCCCTTTGCACATGGGCATCATTTTGAAGAGCTTGCTTTTACTCTTTCCAGTAGAATTTTTGACAGAAGACAACTCTGTCCCTATGCAAGGTACAGCCTTACAAAGATTTCTTGCAGTGATTTGTATGAAGAAAAGAACGTTTGTCTTTTTCAAAGTCTTTTCATTGATAACTTTGCTACGTGCCGTGTGGTGAAGGTCTTACTTGTAGGCACACGTATTGGTTTGGGGACGTGAGTGGTCCCTTCTTTAATGGTGTAGCTCACTGCCCTGGATTTCACTGAAAGCACCTGCAGCCTGGGACTGACTTCTGATTTGATGTGTTTTTATTCCACATTTCCTACTTGGACTCTAGGATTTTTACCACAGATAATGGTTGCCCTTATATGTAGTGGAAGTTACTCTTTGTAGGGGACTGTCAGGTCAAAATATTTAACTGACTTTTTTGACGTATATTTTCTTTTTTCCTTGTTTTTGTTTTTTGGGGTTTTCTGCTTTAAAATATATACCACTATGTATATCCAGTTAACTGAGGGAATTTTGAATCTCTCTTAATAAAGCTGCATTAAGTTTATGGTTTTATAGAAATTAGCTTTTGTTTAGGCAACTAGTGGTTACACTGTGCAAATATTGTCATGAATTTTTACTTTTCTGATTTTTGTAATAAAAATTGGTGAAGATAGAGGATGTGTCAGATGAACAAAACCAATGTTCTCAGAGTGTTACTAACATTGTTTTTAAATTGTCCTTTACACATGGAATAAACAAAACGCTCACGCCCGATGTGTCTCTGGGTATGCTTCCCTGCGTGAGGGTGGTCCGTGGGAGGAACTGGAGGGGTCGACTTCTACTGCTGTCTTTCATTTTGCTTGTAAGATTCCATCTACTCTTCTGATCCTCCACATGTAGTCCTTTTCACCGCTTTTGGTTTGTTCACATGCTCTAATTTTATGAACACTGTCTCACTGGATCTCTCTTGTGGGTAGGGGGAGGTATAAATTGCTGTCAGCTAACAGTATTGTCCCTGCATGCTTATTTTCATAAAAGACCACAACCATAGTTTCCTAAACTTCTTTGGGCCGGCACGTATTAATGAATGTAAGCCTTTTAAGTATATAAATTAGAGTTAATAACGGCAACAGAATAGCCATTCTGGCATGCCTAGTATGTTATTTTAAACGTTTATTTTTGTACATGATGGAAAAACCTGCTAGACCAAGTGACGGAGCACGGGCCTTTGGAATTGTCACAAAAATTACTCTGTGCTGAGAGAGGTCAGAACATCTGCCGTGTCACCCCCGCCCTCTCCTGTGCAGGGTCAGTCATCACGCCCGGACGCAGGTGACCTCGGAAACCTTTTAAGGGACTGATCGTGAAGCCACCCAAGTGGCTGAGTTTCAAGACAGAGGAAACCTAATGCCTACTTCATGTATAATTGGGGAAGAATTTTTTAAATTAGGACTTTAAGAAGAAAATAAATGTTCTAATACTTTAAAAAATTGCGGACGTCATTTTCACGTTGACCAAGAATAAGCTCAAGTTTTGCTCTGCTCAACTCACCAAAATTCAGTCCATGCTGAACTCTCACGGTAGTTCACTGGTTCTTAACATTTGGTCTGAAGAGCCTTTTAGGTGCTTGTATTAAATACTAGTGGCGAGCAGCTGGAAAGTGAAATAAATAAGTCCACTTACAGTAACATCAAAACCATAAAATACCTAGGAGTATGTCTTAAAAGGTGTTCTAGACCTCTACACTGGAAACTATAAAACACTTGTGAGAGAAAGGTCTCTATAAATGTGTGGAAGTATGTAGTAATTGAGAAAGGAGAGGTATTTTAATAGCCTTTGCAGTAGATCATGGGTATTGGCTACAAAATCAAAACTCTGCAGAGGTGGTTTCTACAGCAATGGTTTCATAAAGGTTTGCTGCAGTGTTGAATCAGAAACCATATGGATGAATTTCTTGTACTCAGTTACATTAAATCTGTTTATCTTGTACTTTGAATGGATGGCTAATCCATGCATGATTTTATAACATCATGCCTTAGCTATTTGGAAAATATTCTTTCTTTTTAATCTTTTTTTTTTTTTTTTTTTTGGCTGCACCACACAGCTAGTGGGATCTTAGTTCCCTGACCAGGGATTGAACCCGTGCACTTTGCAGTGGAAGCACAGAGTCCTAACCACTGGACCACCAGGGAATTCCTGGAAAATATTCTTTAACTGAGGTCCACAGATCTTCCAGATGTTGAAACATTTCATTTAATATTTAGAAAAACTCATTAATATCACGAACTATAAACGTCTGAAGCTGACTTCATTCGCCACATATACTGTCATTTGTTTTCCTTGAAGTGGCAGGCTCACTTGGTAATCTTTTTTTAAATCACATCTGCCAAACATAAAAAGTCATATAAAGTCTTAATAACCATTGTCAATTATTTTTCAAGTAAAAATGATGTTTCTCGAAAGAAAGCAACTGGTTACGTTGTAACACAACCAGCCAGGCAAGTGCTTTCCCGGGAGGCAATATTGTACTTTGTTCCACACGCTTTCCATTTCATCACACAGGACATGTACTCAGTGGTTGAGATGTAATATGTATTTTTTGCTTCATCAAGGACATTTTTAAGTGAAATTGGCCTTTTTTAACTGCACAGCAGTGAAGAACATAGTAGTAATCAGGACAGTCGTTGCTGAGGCTTCACCGTTGCTTCTGAGCCACAGTGCAAATGTCAACACAGGAGAAAGCAACTCACATCCTGATAACATAGCTGTGACCTTTTGGGCCCCTGAAATGGTCCCAGGGTCCCGGGGAGTCGGCTCATCCCAGTTTGAGAACTGCTGGATCAACTGTGCCGTTAGCGTTTGGGCCGATGAGACCTCAGCAACTGAGGCATACATGCTGGGATCGAGACAGGGTTCTCTGAATTGCTCTTTAGGCCTTTCTGTAGATGGAATTTTTTAAACTGAGAGCAACAGAGAATGGAGGAGACTAACTGGAGACAGAAACGTAGAAACCTTTGAAGAGTTGTGCTGAAAAGAGGAGCCAGGAAGTAGGCTGCAGGGAGACGCGGACGTGACATCAAGAGAGAGTCTGAAGATGGAAGATACGGGAGGGAAGGCTGGAGGCCCAGGTGAGCACGTGAGAAGGGGTGGGTCCCCCGATGGCGCCCGTTTCTGGTGAATTGTGAGCCCCCAGCTTGGGCAGGTGGTTTCCAAGAGACACTGGCATCCCAACCTGTGGCTGCAGCCATAGGTGATCCTGGGCAGAAAAGGGCCGAGTTGACTTCGGGCTGAACCGTACAGTTCAGCTGAGCAAGCTGGACAAAGCAGCGGTTGCAGTGGCTGGGATTTAAGCTGAGGAGGGTGGGGCGGGGGCGGGGGGCAGTTCTGATGGAGGTGATGGCGTCGGCTAGTCAGGCACCGCGGGGACAAGACAGTACAGTCACCGTGAACAGTGAAACAGCCCGAGCAGAGTGAAGGACCAGGGTCATCCGGGCAGCAAACCCTCGGGGGAGGAGAGACAGGCTCCATACGGGGGCGTAAGTGCAGCCAGTGGTGGGGGGATTGCCGGGGCTGGCTGATGAGGGGGTGAAACTGGGCCAGGCCACCCCCCAGGCCGGGTGGGGCCTTTCATTTCCTAACAATATTGAAAATATGAAAGAATTTTTGCATAAATTTGTCTCACATCCAGTCATCTTGTTGAATGTTCCTAGTCTAATACTTTTTTGCTTAAGGCTTTTAAATTTTGTAGTCATATTTTATACCATACATAAAAATTCACTCAAAATGGATTAGAGACTTAAATGTAAGATCTGAAACCATAAAACTAGAAGGAAACATGGAGAAAAACTTTTTGACATTAGTCTCAGCAGTGATTTCTCGGATATGACACTAAAGGCGCAGGCACAAAAGCAAAACCAGACAAGGGTCACTGCATTTAACTAAAAATCTACACATCTACTGAAACAACCAAGTGAAAAGACAACCTATGGAATGGGAGAAAATTTTGGCAAACCACGTATCTGATATGGGGTTAATTCCCAAAATATGTCAGGAACTCCTTCAACTCAACAGCAAAAAAAAAAAAATAACCTGATTTTAAAATGGGCAAAGGAAGGGGATTCAAGATGGCGGAAGAGCAAGACGCGGAGATCAGCTTCCTCCCCACAGATACACCAGAAATACACCTACACGTGGAACAGCTCCTACAGAACACCTACTGGACGCTGGCAGAAGACCTCAGACCTCCCAAAAGGCAAGAAACCCCCCACGTACCTGGGTAGGGCAACAGAAACAAGAAAAAACGGAGACAAAAGGATAGGGACGGTACCTGCACCAGCGGGAGGGAGCCGTGAAGGAGGAAAGGTCCACACACTAGGAGCCCCTCCGCGGGCGGAGACTGCGGGCGGCGGAGGGGGGAGCTTCGGCGCCGCGGAGGACAGCGCAGCCACTGCGGTGCGGGGGGCAAAGCGGGGAGACTCCCGCACAGAGCATCGGGGCCGACCGGCGCTCACCAGCCCGGGAGGCTTGTCTGCTCCCCCGCCGGGGCGGGCGGGGCCGGAAGCTGAGGCTCGGGCTTCGGTCGGAGGCAGGGAGAGGACTGGGGCTGGCGGCGTGAACACAGCCCGCAGGGGTGAGTGCGCCACGGCTGGCCGGGAGGGAGTCCGGGGCAAGTCTGGAGCTGCCGAAGACGC